TTTTTAAAATGCGACCTAGATTCCAGGATGCTGTTGAGAATGTGCAATCCATCCATCTCCTCACATCTCTCGTTCAGTGCAACCGCACAAAATGAATCCGAAACCAACAAAACCGAACCTAGTGCCACTAATAACAACAATAAAAAACCTGAGAGCAGCACCAGCCAAAAATCAAACGGAACTCAAACGACGTCGTTGTCTTTGAGAAATGGAAAAGGACGAATACGAAGTGAGTAAACTAAACATCTCTTTATCCACCATCCAAATTTTATTCGTTTTTGAATTTTTGCTGTGCGTGAGTCGATCGACAATTTCCAAACGTTTTAATTGCCATACAGCGTAGTTTTATATAAGGAAAATGTATTGATGTCGATCAAAAACTGTTTGATTTAGTATGCCTTTAATGATTTACGGTGAATATTTCGTTTAGGTGTTGATTTCTTGAAGAAGGTTAAAGAAATGGTTGGTGCAGAGGTACCCGATGAAGAATTTATTATTCCTCGTTCGGCATTCGACGCTTTAGCAAATGAATACGATGTTCTCATTGATGAAACATCTTCGTTTAAGGTGTTTATTGTTAATTGTCATATGTTGTAATTACGCATTAGTTTTTTGATTTTTTAACGATTTCTTTTAAATTGTAATTAAAAGTACAGTCGGCATATTCATATCGAATGAGGCAGTCGGCTTATTCCTTTCGAATGCTCCATACCATTTGATAGTGATAGTGAGTATGTGATATTAAGAATTATTAAGTGTTCCTAATCGAATCAATATTTCCGGTTATTGATAATTATGCTCTGGTTTTTGAGGACAAATATACTCGTGCATTGGCAGACACTGAAAATGTACGTCGTCGCGGTCAGAAACAAGTTGAAGAGGCAAAATTATTTGCTATTCAAGGATTTTGTAAGGATCTTCTTGAGGTAATGATTGATGGATTGAATGTTTTCCGATAATATATTATTTGTTGAATAATGATTAAAAAAGGACTGAGATTTGGTTATCAGGTGAGAATTACAATCTTACATCCAATTTCTGTTATCTCTGTTATGTGTTATCCTTTTAAGGTTGCGGATATTTTGGATTTAGCAGTTGGTTCAATGAAAAAAGAGGATATAGAGACGAATCCACAAATAAAGAGTTTACATGAGGGTGTCGAAATGACTAGAACCGTGCTCGAAAAGGTATTTGCTAAACATGGACTCGTTAAAATGTCACCAGAAGGCGAAAAATTCGACCCAAATCTTCATGAAGCCGTTTTTCAAGTGCCCAAAGATCAGGTAATTTGTTTTCTCAAACAAATTCTTTATTCTGTTCGGCTCGCTTAAAGTGCAAAAAATTTTGGCTTTTTGTTTATTATTTTTATGCGGATGAATTTTTGAACGATTTCAGCAAACGTTAAAATTTCAGAGCAAATACGAAGCTGGTCACGTAGCGAAAGTGATGACAATTGGATACGCCCTACAAGGCCGTCCAATTCGTGCCCCTAAAGTTGGCGTTGTTGCCTCCTAATAGGTCATCCGCAATTTATCTCTTACATTGCCCTCAATATCTTTAGTACATTTGTTTTTGTGACTGTTCTGTAAATCTACATCAAGATAACGCACTTCTCATTGTTATCATCTTATGGTTTTATTTGAGATTCGTTTTCGTTTTTAGTGTTTATGTAGATGTTACGATTGTGTTTAGTATCACTCCTCTGTGTTTACGATTTGCTCATTTTACCGTCATTCTCATTTCAGTACTCTTTTAAGTACAAATGAAC